TCGAAACTTGATTAATATTTTGTTTTCGATGTAATACCGGTAATCTATTTTCAGATTAGAATTTGCCATATTCGGAGTTTAAGATGACCCGACCAACCCTCCTCGGGCTAGAAAATTTAAAAATGAAAAATACAATAACACATTATATTAATTTTTTACTATGTTGTACTTATTTCTAGGGTGTCTGTTTGCATTAGCAACTCATGCCTATAATGTGACAGTTAGTACTGTTATGGCTAATGGAATAATTACGAATGCAAGCTATAGTGGTCCAAATTCTTTGTATAATGGAGGACCTAATTGCCATGTGTATTACGACTCAAGTGCAGGTTACAGTCTTTATTATAATAGTCCTTGTGATTTAGGATGTGCACCATGTGGCCAACTGCAAACTCTTGCTACTTGTGAAACACATTGGGTTTATACATCTCCATTTAATGAAAATCTACTAGCTTCTACTTTATCTCAAATGCCTTCTAATCTTGCAAATAATATTGGAGTCGTTGCATATTCTCCCGAAATACCAGGAAACATTATTTGTCCTGATGGTGGTACTATTTGTATATCGTGGGTACAACAAATGGCTAGTTTTCATATTGATCTTTATAGTTTTGGTGATGGATGTGACATATACGGCGGTGCACATCAAATATGGACTCCCTTCGCAGGTGGTTCCTTCCAGCATAAAACAACTATTCCAAATACTGGTTCATCAGGACCACCGCCAGTCAAACCTCCTACTGGTCCTACATGCTATTCTGGATTCTATGGTTCTGGAAACGGGCAAGGAAGTGCAGGAGATTGTTGTCAATCAGACAATGATTGTCGTAATGTTTGTAACAGTGGTAGATGCGATGGATCTAACGCAACTCCTGGCCTGTCTTGTGCAGGTGGAAGCTCCGGATCTGGTAACGGAGACGGTAGTAGTGGTGCATGTTGTGTTTCAAGTAATGATTGTATAGATACTTGTACAAATAATGTGTGTGGTAACGGTGACGGTAGTAGCAACGGTAGTAGTTCTTGTTCAGGAGGTAACCCGGGTGCTGGAAATGGAAACGGTGCGAGTGGTGCGTGTTGTACTACCAGCAACGATTGTCTTGATACTTGTAACAATGGCATGTGTGGTGCTGGCGGCGTAACTACAATTCCTAGCAAAACCACTAGCGTAAAAGCAAGTGCCACTAATTCGTGTTCATGCACTAGCGGCTATTCTGGGAAAGCTAATGGAGGAGGCCCCACCGGTGCTTGCTGCACCACCAGCAACGACTGTGCTGATACTTGTAACAATGGCATATGTGGAATAACTGGAGC